GGTCATTCAGGCTAGGTCATTCAGGCTAGGTCATTCAGGCTAGGTCAGTCAGGCTAGGTCATTCAGGCTAGGTCAGTCAGGCTAGGTCAGTCAGGCTAGGTCATTCAGGCTAGGTCATTCAGGCTAGGTCATTCAGGCTAGGTCAGTCAGGCTAGGTCAGTCAGGCTCAGTCATTCAGGCTAGGTCATTCAGGCTAGGTCAGTCAGGCTAGGTCATTCAGGCTAGGTCATTCAGGCTAGGTCATTCAGGCTAGGTCAGTCAGGATAGGTCATCCAGGCTAGGTCAGTCAGGCTAGGTCATTCAGGCTAGGTCATTCAGGCTAGGTCATTCAGGCTAGGTCAGTCAGAATAGGTCATTCAGGCTCGGTCATTCAGGCTAGGTCATTCAGGCTAGGTCAGTCAGGCTAGGTCAGTCAGGCTAGGTCATTCAGGCTCGGTCAGTCAGGCTAGGTCATTCAGGCTAGGTCAGTCAGGCTAGGTCAGTCAGGGTAGGTCATTCAGGCTAGGTCATTCAGGCTAGGTCATTCAGGCTAGGTCATTCAGGCTAGGTCATTCAAGCTAGGTCATTCAGGCTAGGTCATTCAGGCTAGGTCAGTCAGGCTAGGTCATTCAGGCTAGGTCATTCAGGCTAGGTCAGCCAGGCTAGGTCATTCAGGCTCGGTCAGTCAGGCTAGGTCATTCAGGCTAGGTCAGTCAGGCTAGGTCAGTCAGGCTAGGTCATTCAGGCTAGGTCATTCATGCTAGGTCATTCAGGCTATGTCATTCAGGCTAGGTCATTCAGGCTAGGTCATTCAGGCTAGGTCATTCAGGCTAGGTCAGGCTAGGTCAGTCAGGCTAGGTCATTCAGGCTAGGTCATTCAGGCTAGGTCAGTCAGGCTAGGTCAGTCAGGCTAGGTCATTCAGGCTCGGTCAGTCAGGCTAGGTCATTCAGGCTAGGTCAGTCAGGCTAGGTCAGTCAGGGTAGGTCATTCAGGCTAGGTCATTCAGGCTAGGTCATTCAGGCTAGGTCATTCAGGCTAGGTCATTCAAGCTAGGTCATTCAGGCTTGGTCATTCAGGCTAGGTCATTCAAGCTAGGTCATTCAGGCTAGGTCATTCAGGCTAGGTCAGCCAGGCTAGGTCATTCAGGCTCGGTCAGTCAGGCTAGGTCATTCAGGCTAGGTCAGTCAGGCTAGGTCAGTCAGGCTAGGTCATTCAGGCTAGGTCATTCATGCTAGGTCATTCAGGCTATGTCATTCAGGCTAGGTCATTCAGGCTAGGTCATTCAGGCTAGGTCATTCAGGCTAGGTCAGTCAGGCTAGGTCAGTCAGGCTAGGTCAGTCAGGCTCGGTCATTCAGGCTAGGTCATTCAGGCTAGGTCAGTCAGGCTAGGTCAGTCAGGCTAGGTCATTCAGGCTAGGTCATTCAGGCTAGGTCATTCAGGCTAGGTCAGTCAGGCTAGGTCAGTCAGGGTAGGTCATTCAGGCTAGGTCATTCAGGCTAGGTCATTCAGGCTAGGTCATTCAGGCTAGGTCATTCAAGCTAGGTCATTCAGGCTTGGTCATTCAGGCTAGGTCATTCAAGCTAGGTCATTCAGGCTAGGTCATTCAGGCTAGGTCAGCCAGGCTAGGTCATTCAGGCTCGGTCAGTCAGGCTAGGTCATTCAGGCTAGGTCAGTCAGGCTAGGTCAGTCAGGCTAGGTCATTCAGGCTAGGTCATTCATGCTAGGTCATTCAGGCTATGTCATTCAGGCTAGGTCATTCAGGCTAGGTCATTCAGGCTAGGTCATTCAGGCTAGGTCAGTCAGGCTAGGTCAGTCAGGCTAGGTCAGTCAGGCTCGGTCATTCAGGCTAGGTCATTCAGGCTAGGTCAGTCAGGCTAGGTCAGTCAGGCTAGGTCATTCAGGCTAGGTCATTCAGGCTAGGTCATTCAGGCTAGGTCAGTCAGGCTAGGTCATTCAGGCTAGGTCATTCAGGCTAGGTCATTCAGGCTAGGTCATTCAGGCTAGGTCAGTCAGGCTAGGTCATTCAGGCTAGGTCATTCAAGCTAGGTCATTCAGGCTAGGTCATTCAGGCTAGGTCATTCAGGCTAGGTCATTCAGGCTAGGTCAGTCAGGCTAGGTCATTCAGGCTAGGTCATTCAGGCTAGGTCAGTCAGGCTAGGTCATTCAGGCTCGGTCATTCAGGCTAGGTCATTCAGGCTAGGTCATTCAGGCTAGGTCAGTCAGGCTCGGTCATTCAGGCTAGGTCATTCAGGCTAGGTCAGTCAGGCTAGGTCATTCAGGCTAGGTCATTCAGGCTAGGTCAGTCAGGCTAGGTTAGTCAGGCTAGGTCATTCAGTTCAGGCTAGGTCATTCAGGCTAGGTCATTCAGGCTAGGTCAGTCAGGCTAGGTCATTCAGGCTAGGTCAGTCAGGCTAGGTCAGTCAGGCTAGGTCATTCAGGCTAGGTCATTCAAGCTAGGTCATTCAGGCTAGGTCATTCAGGATAGGTCATTCAGGCTAGGTCAGTCAGGCTAGGTCATTCAGGCTAGGTCATTCAGGCTAGGTCAGTCAGGCTAGGTCATTCAGGCTCGGTCATTCAGGCTAGGTCATTCAGGCTAGGTCATTCAGGCTAGGTCATTCAGGCTAGGTCATTCAGGCTAGGTCAGTCAGGCTAGGTCATTCAGGCTCGGTCATTCAGGCTAGGTCATTCAGGCTAGGTCATTCAGGCTAGGTCATTCAGGCTAGGTCATTCAGGCTAGGTCATTCAGGCTAGGTCATTCAGGCTAGGTCATTCAGGCTAGGTCATTCAGGCTAGGTCATTCAGGCTAGGTCAGTCAGGCTAGGTCATTCAGGCTAGGTCATTCAAGCTAGGTCATTCAAGCTAGGTCATTCGGGCTAGGTCATTCAGGTTAGGTCATTCAGGCTAGGTCAGTCAGGCTGAGTCACTGAGAGCTTGAGTCAGCGACAGCATGATGAATGAGCCGGCCACGGAGAAAAATAAACAGGACACAGGTCAACAATGCATCTAACGTTACACATTGGCCTCTAATACTTTCACAAGCACCGTGGCTCGTACGCTGGGAGCCTTGACGCTCGTACGCGGATTGCCAAGACTGAGACGACATTAGGAAGGCTCATGTAATGACTGAAGGGGCAGGGTGCTTACGTTGCTTCAGGGCTTTATTCGATGTGGTTGATTTCCACGGTCTTGCGTAGTCACTCAGCAGTAGCGGCAGCACAGGGACAGTCGATCTGCAGTGCGTGGTGGTGATGGTGAGGCTTGGCAAAACTGAAATTGCTGGAAGGGAAGGAAGGTAGTGGGATGAGTGCGACCGAGAAAGTAATAATTGCTGTTGACTCGTTTTTCTTGGCAATGCATAAGTGATTGATTGGGAAATTGGCGTCAGATTGCCTGGATAAGAGCACGGCGTCGTGGCGCCATGCATGACAGCTGCATATTTCTGTTTGCGCTTTTATCTTTGGGAACGTGGCATGGAGACCGTTTGGAGGCTAAGGTCGAGAGAGACAGAGGGTAAGCCAAAGGACTCGAAACGATGAATGGAGAAAATGATGATGTGGTTAGCGCCGGTGTGCGAGCGGAATAACCGAACCAGGCGGCTTACCTCGTAACTGTTTCTAGGGTTTCGCAAATTGAAACGTCGTGAGGATAGGAGAGGCAATGACGACACCTACTAGGCGCAACGGGCTCTGGACACGCCAAGCGATCTGAGGTGCCGCGCGAATCTCACGTGAGAACTTGAAATGCCTTTGAAACGAGCAGAGTCAGGAGGGAGCGGAGGGAAACTATGACTGCTACTACTAACTGATACGCGGGTTCGAGTTCTGTCTATGCGACATCGATAAGTAGTAGTAACGCCGAGCAAAGGTGGCTCATTGAGTGCAGCAGTCGAGTGACTTACATTACCACGGTGTTGAATGGTTCTGCTCGTGACTCGTGCTGTGTTTCAAATTGGTCATACTGGGATCCATGATTCGCCTCATTCACCAATATGTGTACGTACAAATGTCGTCACGTGAGCAGATCCGTAACGGGCACTGGCGGTGTACCTCGTTCAAAGCACATGCTTGGGGTGAACTGAGAACGACACAGTGACTTGCAAATTAGGTCTAGAATCACAAAGTTCACGTCACTGCTCGTTTCGCGAGCAATTTTGGTGTTTTGCGAACAGCGGGATGATAACATTTCACGAGATTTGAAACAACCCTGCCATCGCTAATACCTCGCAAAGCCCTCACAACCATCCCCCCTATTCGCTGCCACTCATAGTAGTAACTAAAGCTTACGTTCTCTTCGTCAGCAGCTAGTTTCGCACCAAGGTGATGACATAACGAAGCTGCACAATCGATATTTTCTCCAACGGTTATGTGACTGCAGCGAAATGGCGGACATTTTCCTTCAGTCTACTATAGAGACAGACCTAGGCAAGTCAAGAAAACGCCACGCGTCGCTTCAACCACTCTGTTCGAATTGACGATGTAGAGAATAAAGAACAGTCGGTGATCTGACAAGATTGCCTTCCTTCGTACATTCCAACGTTCAGTCTGTGGTCCTTTGCACGCACCGAATCATTCCTCTCGTCCAATCGTCCGCGTGTCGAACGAGGATTTTCAACCGCGCGACTGCACCGCCATGTTGCCACGACGTCAAGTCACCCCGGCCGTGCCATCCTGCACTACGTTCTCTTCGCACCTCGCCTCTCATCACGCTGCCATGCGGCATAACCGCCCATCTCCCTCTCCACCCTTCCTCGCCCCTTCCTCCTACTCCACTCTCCCCTCCGCGCCTCGGCTCTGAAGTCCATCAAGGTGCGTGCGAGGCGAGTATCAGTGGAGCCGTTCCGCGCGATGGATGATGAGCAGCGCAGCGCGGCCTGCCGTGTATGACTCATGGCACCTCGGAGGTAGCATGCCTCGCTCCTGTCCTTCCTCGTTCATCTTCCTTCTCTGCCTTCCTCTCCTTCCTTCTCCCCCTCCTCCTCCCTCGCCCTTACCTCCTTCTCCTTCACTCTTCTTTCTGCAGTAAACCCAGCATCTAGCTGTTTTTCCACCTCCGCCGAAATTCTCCTGCCAGCGTACCTCCTCTTCGTTTCCTCTTGTGGCGTTGAACTTCCTCACAACCTTTCTCGCCCCTCGCATGCGGAGCTTTGTCAACATGTCTGCTTAGAAGCGCGTAGATCCCACTGCGGCCGTCTGCCTCTCTTCCTGTGCGTCCCTTCACCCCTGGCCACAAATACTAGGTCAGATTGTCTGCCAAGAAGCGCCTAGTACCATGTGTCCTGCCTGGCTTCCCAAGTGTCTAGTTGTCAGTGCTGCCACTCCTGCACCTCGTCCCCTCTGCGTTCCCTGTCTCGCTCGTGTCTTCGATTCGATTCAGTCAGCTTGCCTCTACCGTTGCATAATCACTTCGTCCCCTGTCCAGCCCAACTCACCCCATCTGCTGCTACTTACGTCACCAGATTTGCGTTTATCTATTCTGTTGCCTCCTCACTTAACCAGCAGCCGTTTGATTCATCCCATTGTCATATGAATTGACGCATTTAAAGAGGAAAAACTTGCTACTTGCAAGCTTCTTGTGATGCCACTTTTGTCCTGCTGTACTTTTTACTGTCTCCTCCCTCTCCCATGCCTCGTGCATCTCATCCCCGTGCCTTCTTCAACCCGCAGTCACACACGTCCTCAGCCACCCGCTGTAACACGCCTCCTCAGCTGCCCCTTCCCTGCTGCTGCCAAGTCGTGCTTTGCGCTTCAGCCCCTCCGCCAGCCGGTAGTTGTTTTGCTCTCATCCCGTGAGGACGTGGGTATATCCCTGGCTTCTTTGACCTTCACTCTTTTTATCCCTCTCTGCGTTCTTTTCTCTTGCTACTGCTTCAGCACCGTTCATACCTCAATTAATCCACTACTCACCAGACTCAGTCGCCTACTGACCTTCTCACTTGCTTGCATCACCTTCATCCTCTTCCATCACCCTGCTCTGTTCTCTCGTCCTCCCAATGCTTGCTTCTCTCCACCCTTAACCCGTTCATGCTCGCTCATTCCACCTGACGCAATTCTTTCCTTCTATGCTTCCACTCCTTGGCTCGTCACCTCTCCTCGTCGTCACCACTTCTCATTGCCACCTCTGCTACGCTTTTTGCTCACTTCCACTCCTCTGTACCTTCACCAGAGGCTGTGCCTCTGCAACCTGGCTCGCTCCTGCTTCCCCTCCATCGCTTTGGACTTATTTCTGTGCCCTTGTCTCCTAACTTTCCACCCCCCAATTCATACCTGACTCTCATTGAACTAGCTCATTCCCGCTTCTTCCATTTGTCTCCATCCCTGATCTCAATCTCCGCCTCCCATGCACTCAGCGCGCAACTGTCTTCCTTCCCCCGCTGCTGCAGCTTGTCATCCCCTTCCCCTGCGTCTGCCACTTATTCCCCCCTTGCTCTGCTGCTCCCGCTCCTCCTCCCCCTCCCGGGGCCCCCTTCCCTCTTCTGGTTTGGCCACTACCTCCCGTCCTGGCCTGCTCCTTCATTCCACTGTTCCCCTCCTGTTCCGCCTCCTCCCATCCCTCTCCTGCTTTAGTTTAGCCGCTCTCCTCTGCTCCTACTGCATTTCAATGTGCAGTCGCTGCTGCCACAGGGCCTGTCTTCCTTCTCCTGCCGCTACCCCCCTCCCCTCGCTTGCCCTTCGTTTTTTCCTATGATGGATTATACGCTTATAGCGTATATACCCGTGTCGTATATACGCTAGTGTTTGCACGCTATACGCAAGGGGGGTCTGATCAAGGATACGCTTTTCCGGGCAGGTAAAAAACTTTCCTGGGCAGGGCAAAAAACCCTCCGGGAATGCAGCAAGGGGGGGTTCTGGTGGTATGTGCTTCTTCCGGATTTTTTTCGCCCATATTAAGAATTTGCCACGGCCATACATAGAACATCAATGTGACTCACTACTATCTTTACTCTACCACCATCATTAACCCCCTTCTTGGCCCCATACTCACTCTACTACTCATACTCGTCCGCCAAGACCTCGTCCTCACCTTCCTCCTCCTCCATCTCATCCGAGATGTTGTAGCCAGCGGGGATGGGCGGCTCCACCTCGTTCCCTTCCCGCGCACAACTGATCGCATCACATCATCGCGCGTGTGCCATACGCGCACAACGTTCCAGTTGTGAGTGACGTACACCAAATCCGCGCATTTCGCGGATCCTAGGCGGTTGCGGCGGGCAGTGTGGACTGATTCCCACGACGACCAACCACGCTCACAGGGAGATGCCGAGACAGGTTGCGAGAGAGTCCGTACGGCGAGCGCCGACAGCTGGGGCGCATCTGTTCCGTTCCACTGCCACCAATTGACCATGCTGTAAGTGCCCGCCTTTACCTTCTCCCGCTGTGCAATAGCGTCAGGGGCTCCAAAACTCCCTTTCAGATCGAGAAAAGACCTCAATTGGTCCCCCAAGGTGAGCAGGTAGTCGCACTCATCATCCCCCTCCTTCCCACCCCTGCTGCTGAGGAACTCCGCATGGCTGGAGATAAAAGCCTTGAAGACCTGCGTGCATTCGGCATCCCCGCCGAATATGTCCTCCTCTTGGTTGGCGGGGTTGAGGATGCGTCCCGCCACGTGCATGGCGCACGCAAGACTCCCGTCCCACCTGTTTTTCAGGATGCGGCGGGTCTGCTGCTTGTCGGTGTTGGACAACTGCTCCTCATCCGCGTCAACAATGGCCTCCACATCCTCGGTAAGTTGGAGCATGATGTCATACATGCGTCCCATCATCCCGTTAGCGCCCCCATCCGTCCGCCGCATTGCCATGTATGGGAGCTTCATGAGCTTCGCGAAGAATTCTGCAGTCTTCCACCAAGCCGCGTCAAGTACGTGCGCGGCAAACCCCTCCGCAGCCTTCTTCCGCTCTCCCACAGCCCACTCTTTCCACAGGTCGGAGAGCACCATTTGGGTAAGGGAGTTACGGAGCTCACACATCCGGGACACAGCTATGTACTGTGTCTTTCCCACCACCCCCACTTCCCCATTGATGGTTCTGAGGGTTGAATTGAGATATCATAGGATTGTCCCTAGTGCGACAGTGATACGGATGGAGAGGAGGTGGGGAGAGTATACAAACGCCGGGGCGTACATACCGTGGGATACATTGATGTTTCCTTTTTGTCTGCTTTTTGTGCTGCCGCTATGTCTCGAATTTCCGCTCCAGTCACTCCATTCACGGTTCCGCCATCACCTGCTGCAGCCACACCAGCCACAGCAGCCACCGCAGCGCCCGAAGCCGCAGCAGCTCTAGGGTGGCTCCTGTGACTACTGTGGCTGGTAGTGCTGCTGCGGCTGCAGGGGCTGCAGTGGCTGTTGTGGCTGGTGTGGCTGCAGCAAGTGCTGGCGGAACCGTGAATGGAGTGACTGGAGCGGGAATTCGAGACATAGCAGCAGCACAAAAAGCAGAACGAAAAGGAAACATCAATGTACCCCACGGTATGTAGGCCCCGGCGTCTATATACTCTCACCACCTCCTCTCCATCCGTGTCACTGTCGCACTAGGGACAATCCTACGATATCTCAATTCAATCCCGGAACCATCAATGGGGCAGTGGGGGTGGTGGGAGAGGGTGTGAAGTTTAGAGGCCTTATCGCCGAGAAACAGACCATTGACGTTTGATCTACCACCGTTTCCAATTTGCTAGTCTCGATTCCTCCCCTCTCCCCTCACTTCTCCCGTCGTCCTCGTCCTCCTTCTCATCCTCCCTCGTCTCAACCTATTTCTCCTCCCTTTCCTCCTCTTGCCCTCCCTCCTCCTCTTCCTCTTCCCTCTCCTTTTCTCCCCCCTCTCCTCCCCCACCCACGTCCTCCTCTTCCACTTTCATCTATTCCTCCACCCTCTCCTGCCTCTTCCTTCCACTTGCCAAGTCTTCATCTGCTATACGCTTCCTGACAGTGTGTGGCTCTAACAAAGCACATAAGCATGTAATAGGAAATAATCGCATGGAACTCCTTTCTCCTTATTCTCAGCACCCCATTCCCCCACTATCCAACACTTACGCGCAAGTCGCATCACCCGAACCCCCCGTTGATACCCAGGGAGCCCATCAACATCTCATCTTCGCCACTCTTCCCCGCGCACTTCTATCGTTAGCCCGCGCGCCGCGCGTGCGTGCTCTTACTGCCACCAACAGCGTTGTTGCCGCCCTGGCATCGGCAGCCGCCAAAATAACGAACAACGCCATCCATCGCGATTTCCTCAGTGATTTTCGCCCAGCGTGCCTTTTCGTCCGCGCAGCGTTGCCCGTTCCGCGCGAGTCCGTCCCATGGCCCTCCGCCTCCACCCCGCATTGCCCCCAGGTACTCGCCCCTTGTCGCCTGTGACACTAACGAGCGAACGCATTAGGTTCGCAAGCAATACGCACTTTGTAGCACACAATGGTTCACACATGCTATTCCTCGCTTCGCTATACGCTGCTGCGTTAAGAACGAGATCCCAGCGCAAGAGCGGTTACATCCCACTTCCTGCATTCCCCAAATCACCTACACTTGTCCTCTTCCCGTCCTTAAATTCCTCTTCCCCTTGACTCTAGTTCCTCATTTCCTCCCGTTCGCTACTCTCGCTCCACTCTCTCGCCCCTCTCTCCCTCCCTCCCTCTCCCTGCGTCCTCTTCCATGCCCCCCGCCTCCCTGTTTGCTTTCCTTTCCCTCCATCGCCCCCCTTTCCCTTTTTTCCCAGAATTTCCTCGTCCGCGCGCCACCGCTTGCATCACTCCCCAGCTTCGCAACTCCGCGCGGACCTTTCTTCCGCGCGCCCTTTGCCCCGCGCGCGTCTACTCTCCTCCGCGTACTCGCTGGCCACCGCGTCCTCGCTCTGCACCGACTGCTGCGCCACTCCGCCAAGCGTAGCGCGCTCCTCCCCGCAGGCGGAAGGCGTGGCGCGCAGCTGCTGCAAGGGCGCGGGCGAGGCGGGCATCGCCCCTGGTGACTGGGGGCGCAGTGAGGGGAGGCGAGTGGCGATGGTATGAGGAGGGCGGGTGAGTGGGAGTGACGCGGGGAAGGCGGGTGAGTGGCAGTGGTGCGGGGGCGGGGGGCCACGTGAGAGGCAATGTGACGGGAGAGGGAGGGGGGGGGGCGGGTGAGTGGCAGTGGGAGGGGCTGTGCGGGTGAGTGGCAGTGTATGGTGTCTTGGCATGCCTCCCCAGCATGCTTCTGTTGTTAACCCGCCTCTTGCTTCCCCCCTTCCCCCTCCGCTTCCCCCGGGCACCGTCAGACCTCATGGTCGCTGCCACCCCCCCCTTCCCCGCTTCCCCCTCTTTCCGCCCTCCCCTCTCCTTCCTCCAGAACCCGTGTTGCTGCTCTCCACCCTGGGCATGCACTTGCGCAACCTGCACTCCCACCCACGCTGCACCGTGGTCATGCAGCAGATGCCACCTTCCCCCAGGTGGTTTGGGTTTGTGGCGCCAGTGGCGGTGGCAATGGTGGTGATTGTGTGCGGCACAGCACCCGTGTGGGTGGGCGTGGGCGTCGTGCTCGTCCTCTCCTCACTGCTTCAGCCGCTCTACATCTGCCTCGTTCGACACAGGTGTGCGTGCATGCACACACACACACATTCGCGCACACCCACGCACTCACACACCCACGCACACACAAATGCATGCTGTGCTTGCACTGCGTTGCTCTCGTAGCCCCACAACCTGCTCTTTCTCCTCCGCTCTCTCACTGCCTCCCTCGCTCTTCTGTCCGTGCGTGCGTGCGTGCGTGCGTGCGTGCGTGCGTGCGTGCGTGCGTGCGTGCGTGCGTGCGTGCGTGCGTGCGTGCGTGCGTGCGTGCGTGCGTGCGTGCGTGCGTGCGTGCGTGTGTGTACGTGAGTGCGTGAGTGCTACCCACTGCACTCACTGCACTCAATGTACTCACTAACTCCTGCCATTTCTCTTGCAGTCTTGGCTCCTACACTCTGCAACCACACTGCTCTTGCACCAGCGCACTCTCAGCTCCACTCCCCACACCCTCTCCCTCGCCCCCTCCCTTCTCTTTCCCCCACCCCTCCAACCCAGCACGGACTGTCGCCCCCGCGCGAGTGCACTGACTACCAAGGCACCATCGCCTCCCTTCATGCGATTCGAGCAGGGTGCGGGCGCAAGACTACCTGGGCAACCTGTGGGTCACAAGTGGGTCAGTCTCAGGTCAGTTTCAGGTCAGTCTCAGGTCAGACTCAGGTCAGTCTCTCAGGTCAGTCTCAGTTCATCTTTGGTGGCGGAAAGTGATGGTGGTGTTGCAGGGAGGTCTCAGCTTCTTGGCTGCCATTCGCTCCCCTCCTCCCAGGTAGGTTGTGAGCAGAGGGGCATGAGAGTGGGGCGGATGACAAGGTAGTGAGGCGGAGTGGGGCACACATGCTGCAGGTGGGTGGGGCACACATGGTGCTGTCTTCAAAAGCGAGGAGTTGCCCTTGATCTTCCCTACCCCACCTATCTTACCAGTTTTCCTTGAACCCCAACAGCCCCTGTTTTGCAGGTGCAAGACAAACATTGCCACCTTTGGAGCAGTGAGCTGTGGCCTCTCAACAGCGGACTGGCTTGATCAAATTGGCCACCTTTCCAGGGCCTGTCAACAGAGCTGTGCTCTGCCACTTCTCAGCCTTCGTCCTCCCTGCCTGCCCTGCCTTCCCTTCCTTCCCTGCCCACCCTTGCCTTCCATCACCTCCCTCTCTGCAGGCACTATCCGGCAGGTGCAAGGCCTAGATCACCACATCACCGTCGCACTCGAATAACCCTTGGCGGGTTCTCCAGTCCAGCAGTGTGCTCTGCCTCTTCCTTCTGAGCCTTCAACATCCTCGGCCTCCGCAACAGCGAGGAGCTCTCGTTGCTCAGCGATAACAACCTCTGCGATTGTGTTTACATAGATGCGCCTGAATGGAAGTCTGCTGCTGCTGCTCTCCAAGTGTGACCGCATGACCATCTCGTCCTTTTCTTGCCCATTACTTTCCAAATGTCATTCTCCTTATTCTGCTGAGCAGCAGTCTGCTGGTTCTGTTGCCCTATAAGTGACGGCATGTTCTCGTTGTTACTACCCACGAGTTTCCAGAAATGTTAACAAATGGCAATAGGCAAAGGACCTCGTCTTTCAGACTGCAGCTGCTGGAAATGTATGCACTTTTCCTTGGTGTAGTTTGGTTTCAGTTCAGATGGTCCATACATTGCAAGTTGCAACCCATCAACAATCTGCTCGGAGCATGTAACAACTTTATAGTGCTGCACCTCACAGGCATCTGTGACAATACACTTGACAACTTAGACATGAAGCTACACAAGCATTGTGGTTGCATAAGTCCAAAGAGAGCAAAGCACAAGCTGGCATGTCAACACATGACCGAGGCCTGAGTGGGAGTGTAGGCAGGTTGGGGCGAAGTGAAGTCGCAAGGGCAGAAAACAGGAGGCGAATGAATGATATGAGTGGAGGTTGTGAGACGAGTGGGGTTAATGAGAGGAGTAGAACTCAAACTCGTGATTTGCTCGTGTCTAGCAATCCCGTAGGCACCGCTCGAGGAAGTTGCAACGAATGACTGAAGGCTCACCATGAGTACCTGATTGCATGCATTCAGTGCTTCAGGCCTGTCCAAGGCAAGATTGGATTAGGGAGGAGGGTTGAAGTGGCAGTGGTGAAAAGGGAGAAGGAAACAGGAGTGGCAGTGCAGAGACGGAGGGAAACGGGGAGGGGACAAGGGGACGGGGGAGAGTGATGGACAAATGTTGTACAACATTTACATTGAAAGCAAGAGGGGTGGTTTTATCAGCTGCCACACACGTCATTGTTAAGACACATACACACCAGTGCATTCTGTTGAAGCAAACACAGGACAGTACCCAGCACCTCTACTCCAGAGCCTGAACATCTTCTTAGCATTATGAGCTCCCCACATAATTAGCAGTAGTATGCTGAAAGAATGTGTTTGTACGTGAGGCGCAATCTGCTTCTGAGCTTTGGATTTGGCTTCCATCACATCGGAACCACCATGCCAAAAACATTGACTAATTGATTTGTGAAAATTCAGATTAGTACCACCAGGCACAATATTTACATACTTACACGCAAAGCCATCCCACCACTGGGCAGTTCAATTCCACTTCCTCTGGGCGTAAAAAAGGTTTCACAGCAAACTCGATCGCCCCTCTCCGCTTCCCTCAAATGCCAATTGCCCCCTCCCTCCTCCCCATTTGCAAACCGTCCACCCTACCTCAGTTTTGCAAACTTGGCTGTCCTGGTTCGTTCTTGTCACAAATGTACATCCCAGGTTCAGGGGCAGAATACAAACCTTTTTGCTACAAACCTCCCTCTCACCACTCGCCTCGCCACTCCCCTTGCTACCCACTTTACCACTCACATTGCGCTCATATTGAAACTCACGTTACCACTCACCTTACTTACCCACCTCACCACTCACCTTACCACTCACCTTACCACTCACCTTGCCACTCACCTTGCCACTCACCTTACCACTCACCTGACCACTCACCTTACCACTCACCTTACCACTCACCTTACCACTCACCTTGCCACTCACCTTACCACTCACCTTACCACACACCTTACCACTCACCTTACCACTCACCTTACCACTCACCTTACCACTCACCTTACCACTCACCTTGCCACTCACCTTACCACTCACCTTACCACTCACCTTGCCACTCACCTTACCACTCACCTTACCACTCACCTTGCCACTCACCTTGCCACTCACCTTACCACTCACCTTACCAGTCACCTTGCCACTCACCTTACCACTCACCTTACCACTCACCTTACCACTCACCTTACCACTTACCTTACCACTCACCTCACCACTCACCTCACCACTCACCTCATCACTCACCTTACCACTCACCTTACCACTCACCTTACCACTCACCTTGCCACTCACCTTACCACTCACCTTACCACTCAAATTACCACTCACCTCACCACTCACCTCATCACTCACCTTACCACTCACCTCACCACTCACCTCATCACTCACCTTACCACTCACCTTACCACTCACCTCATCACTCACCTTACCACTCACCTTGCCACTCACCTTACCACTCACCTTACCACTCACCTTGCCACTCACCTTGCCACTCACCTTACCACTCACCTTACCACTCACCTTACCACTCACCTTACCGCTCACCTTGCCACTCACCTTGCCACTCACCTTACCACTCACCTTACCACTCACCTTACCACTCACCTTGCCACTCACCTTACCACTTACCTTACCACTCACCTTACCACTCACCTCATCACTCACCTTACCACTCACCTTACCACTCACCTTACCACTCACCTTGCCACTCACCTTACCACTCACCTCATCACTCACCTTGCCACTCACCTTACCACTCACCTTGCCACTCACCTTGCCACTCACCTTGCCACTCACCTTACCACTCACCTTGCCACTCACCTTACCACTCACCTTGCCACTCACCTTACCACTCACCTTACCACTCACCTTACCACTCACCTTACCACTCACCTTACCACTCACCTTGCCACTCACCTTACCACTCACCTTGCCACTCACCTCACCTTACCACTCACCTTACCACTTACCTTACCACTCACCTTACCACTCACCTCATCACTCACCTTACCACTCACCTTACCACTCACCTTACCACTCACCTTGCCACTCACCTTACCACTCACCTCACCACTCACCTTGCCACTCACCTTGCCACTCACCTTACCACTCACCTTGCCACTCACCTTACCACTCACCTTACCACTCACCTTACCACTCACCTTACCACTCACCTTACCACTCACCTTACCACTCACCTTGCCACTCACCTTACCACTCACCTCATCACTCACCTCAGCACTCACCTTACCACTCACCTTACCACTCACCTTACCACTCACCTTGCCACTCACCTTACCACTCACCTCATCACTCACCTTGCCACTCACCTTACCACTCACCTTGCCACTCACCTTGCCACTCACCTTGCCACTCACCTTACCACTCACCTTGCCACTCACCTTACCACTCACCTTGCCACTCACCTTACCACTCACCTTGCCACTCACCTTACCACTCACCTTACCACTCACCTCACCTTACCACTCACCTTACCACTTACCTTACCACTCACCTTACCACCCACCTCATCACTCACCTTACCACTCACCTTACCACTCACCTTACCACTCACCTTGCCACTCACCTTACCACTCACCTCACCACTCACCTTGCCACTCACCTTGCCACTCACCTTACCACTCACCTTGCCACTCACCTTACCACTCACCTTACCACTCACCTTACCACTCACCTTACCACTCACCTTACCACTCACCTTACCACTCACCTTGCCACTCACCTTACCACTCACCTTACCACTCACCTTGCCACTCACCTTACCACTCACCTTACCACTCACCTTGCCACTCACCTTGCCACTCACCTTACCACTCACCTTGCCACTCACCTTACCACTCACCTTACCACTCACCTTACCACTCACCTTACCACTCACCTTACCACTCACCTTACCACTCACCTTACCACTCACCTCAGCACTCACCTTACCACTCACCTTACCACTCACCTTACCACTCACCTTACCACTCACCTTACCACTCACCTTGCCACTCACCTTGCCACTCACCTTACCACTCACCTTGCCACTCACCTTACCACTCACCTTACCACTCACCTTGCCACTCACCTTGCCACTCACCTTACCACTCACCTTACCACTCACCTTGCCACTCACCTTACCACTCACCTTACCACTCACCTTACCACTCACCTTACCACTTACCTTACCACTCATCTCACCACTCACCTCACCACTCACCTCATCACTCACCTTACCACTCACCTTACCACTCACCTTACCACTCACCTTGCCACTCACCTTACCACTCACCTCACCACTCACCTTACCACTCACCTTACCACTCACCTTGCCACTCACCTTGCCACTCACCTTACGACTCACCTTGCCACTCACCTTACGACTCACCTTACCACTCACCTTACCACTCACCTTACCGCTCACCTTACCACTCACCTTGCCACTCACCTTACCACTCACCTTACCACTCACCTTACCACTCACCTTGCCACTCACCTTACCACTTACCTTACCACTCACCTTACCACTCACCTCATCACTCACCTTACCACTCACCTTACCACTCACCTTACCACTCACCTTGCCACTCACCTTACCACTCACCTCATCACTCACCTTGCCACTCACCTTACCACTCACCTTGCCACTCACCTTGCCACTCACCTTGCCACTCACCTTACCACTCACCTTGCCACTCACCTTACCACTCACCTTGCCACTCACCTTACCACTCACCTTGCCACTCACCTTACCACTCACCTTACCACTCACCTCACCTTACCACTCACCTTACCACTTACCTTACCACTCACCTTACCACTCACCTCATCACTCACCTTACCACTCACCTTGCCACTCACCTTACCACTCACCTCACCACTCACCTTGCCACTCACCTTGCCACTCACCTTACCACTCACCTTGCCACTCACCTTGCCACTCACCTTACCACTCACCTTACCACTCACCTTACCACTCACCTTACCACTCACCTTACCACTCACCTTACCACTCACCTTGCCACTCACCTTACCACTCACCTTGCCACTCACCTTACCACTCACCTTACCACTCACCTTGCCACTCACCTTGCCACTCACCTTGCCACTCACCTTGCCACTCACCTTGCCACTCACCTTACCACTCACCTTACCACTCACCTTACCACTCACCTTACCACTCACCTTACCACTCACCTTACCACTCACCTCAGCACTCACCTTACACACTCACCTTACCACTCACCTTACCACTCACCTTACACTCACCTTACCACTCACCTTACCACTCACCTTGCCACTCACCTTACCACTCACCTTACCACTCACCTTGCCACTCACCTTGCCACTCACCTTACCACTCACCTTACCACTCACCTTGCCACTCACCTTGCCACTCACCTTACCACTCACCTTACCACTCACCTTACCACTCACCTTACCACTTACCTTACCACTCACCTCACCACTCACCTCACCACTCACCTCATCACTCACCTTACCACTCACCTTACCACTCACCTTACCACTCACCTTGCCACTCACCTTACCACTCACCTTACCACTCACCTTACCACTCACCTCACCACTCACCTCACAACTCACCTCATCACTCACCTTACCACTCACCTCACCACTCACCTCACCACTCACCTCACCACTCACCTTACCACTCACCTTACCACTCACCTCACCACTCACCTTACCACTCACCTTGCCACTCACCTTACCGCTCACCTTGCCACTCACCTTGCCACTCACCTTACCACTCAGCTTACCACTCACCTTACCACTCACCTTACCACTCACCTTACCGCTCACCTTGCCACTCACCTTGCCACTCACCTTACCACTCACCTTACCACTCACCTTACCACTCACCTTGCCACTCACCTTGCCACTCACCTTGCCACTCACCTTACCACTCACCTTACCACTCACCTTACCACTCACCTTACCACTCACCTTACCACTCACCTTACCACTCACCTTACCACTCACCTTACCACTCACCTTACCACTCACCTTACCACTAACCTTGCCACTCACCTTACCACTCACCTTGCCACTCACCTTGCCACTCACCTTACCACTCACCTTGCCACTCACCTTACCACTCACCTTGCCACTCACCTTGCCACTCACCTTGCCACTCACCTTGCCACTCACCTTGCCACTCACCTTGCCACTCACCTTACCACTCACCTTGCCACTCACCTTGCACTCACCTTGCACCTTGCCACTCACCTTGCCACTCACCTTACCACTCACCTTACCACTCACCTTACCACTCACCTTACCACTTACCTTACCACTCACCTCATCACTCACCTCATCACTCACCTTACCACTCACCTTACCACTCACCTCACCACTCACCTCACCACTCACCTCACCACTCACCTCACCACTCACCTCATCACTCACCTTACCACTCACCTTGCCACTCACCTTACCACTCACCTTGCCACTCACCTTACCACTCACCTCACCTTACCACTCACCTTACCACTCACCTTACCACTCACCTCACCACTCACCTCACCACTCACCTCACCACTCACCTTACCACTCACCTTACCACTCACCTTGCCACTCACCTTACCACTCACCTTACCACTCACCTTGCCAATCACCTTACCACTCACCTTACCACTCACCTTGCCACTCACCTTGCCACTCACCTTACCACTCACCTTACCACTCACCTTACCACTCACCTTACCACTCACCTCACCACTCACCTCACCACTCACCTTATCACTCACCTTACCACTCACCTTGCCACTCACCTTACCACTCACCTTACCACTCACCTTACCACTCACCTTACCACTCACCTTACCACTCACCTTACCACTCACCTTACCACTCACCTTACCACTCACCTTACCACTCACCTTACCACTCACCTTGCCACTCACCTTACCACTCACCTTGCCACTCACCTTGCCACTCACCTTGCCACTCACCTTGCCACTCACCTTGCCACTCACCTTGCCACTCACCTTGCCACTCACCTTACCACTCACCTTACCACTCACCTTACCACTCACCTTACCACTCACCTTACCACTCACCTTACCACTCACCTTACCACTCACCTTACCACTCACCTTGCCACTCACCTTACCACTCACCTTACCACTCACCTTACCACTCACCTTACCACTCACCTTACCACTCACCTTACCACTCACCTTACCACTCACCTTACCACTCACCTTACCACTCACCTTACCACTCACCTTGCCACTCACCTTGCCACTCACCTTGCCACTCACCTTGCCACTCACCTTGCCACTCACCTTACCACTCACCTTACCACTCACCTTACCACTCACCTTACCACTCACCTTACCACTCACCTTGCCACTCACCTTGCCACTCACCTTACCACTCACCTTACCACTCACCTTACCACTCACCTTACCACTCACCTTACCACTCACCTTACCACTCACCTTACCACTCACCTTGCCACTCACCTTGCCACTCACCTTGCCACTCACCTTGCCACTCACCTTGCCACTCACCTTGCCACTCACCTTGCCACTCACCTTGCCACTCACCTTACCACTCACCTTACCACTCACCTTACCACTCACCTTACCACTCACCTTACCACTCACCTTACCACTCACCTTGCCACTCACCTTGCCACTCACCTTGCCACTCACCTTGCCACTCACCTTACCACTCACCTTACCACTCACCTTACCACTCACCTTACCACTCACCTTGCCACTCACCTTGCCACTCACCTTGCCACTCACCTTGCCACTCACCTTGCCACTCACCTTGCCACTCACCTTGCCACTCACCTTACCACTCACCTTACCACTCACCTTACCACTCACCTTACCACTCACCTTACCACTCACCTTACCACTCACCTTGCCATTCACCTTGCCACTCACCTTGCCACTCACCTTGCCACTCACCTTACCACTCACCTTACCACTCACCTTACCACTCACCTTACCACTCACCTTACCACTCACCTTACCACTCACCTTACCACTCACCTTGCCACTCACCTTGCCACTCACCTTGCCACTCACCTTGCCACTCACCTTACCACTCACCTTACCACTCACCTTACCACTCACCTTGCCACTCACCTTGCCACTCACCTTGCCACTCACCTTGCCACTCACCTTGCCACTCACCTTGCCACTCACCTTACCACTCACCTTACCACTCACCTTACCACTCACCTTACCACTCACCTTACCACTCACCTTACCACTCACCTTACCACTCACCTTACCACTCACCTTACCACTCACCTTACCACTCACCTTACCACTCACCTTACCACTCACCTTGCCACTCACCTTACCACTCACCTTACCACTCACCTTACCACTCACCTTACCACTCACCTTACCACTCACCTTACCACTCACCTTACCACTCACGTTACCACTCACCTTACCACTCACCTTACCACTCACCTTACCACTCACCTTGCTACTGTTCTTCCCACTCCTCGTCCTGCTTGTCCTGCCAGGGCATGTGAGCTTGTGGGAGGGCCAGTGTGCCTTTTGGCACTCTCTGCTGCAATACGCCATCTTGCCACACCCACTGCACCTCCTCAGCTTCACTCCGCCACCCTCCGCCGTTACACACCCCGCAGCACCACACGCACGCCCCCCTAAAGACAGAGGACCGGAGCCTTGTGCGTTTGAATTGGGTTTCGTGTTAGAAACGGCTCTTGCAGCAACGCTAGGTGCAGCGAGGGTGGATGCAGCACCAGAAGAGGGTGGTGCAGTGGCAGAGTTCTTTGAAGCAGCAATGGATGTTGCAGCAGAGATTCTCACAGCAGCGGCCATGGAAGCAGCAGCAGCTGTGCTTGTCTCAGCAGCAGCAGCAGCAGCAGCTGTGCTTGACACAGCAGCAGTGGTGTTCACAGGAGCAGGATGGGTGGAACGGACAGCAGGAGTGGGAGAGGCACCCGGATGAGAAGAGGCAGCAGCAGCAGCAGGGTGGGCGGAAGGGGCAGCAGGGGAGGCAGGGCGGTAGCACGGCTCCCCCAGCAGCATCTCTCGCAGACATGCCACCAGATTGACTCCCCCCGGCCATGCCTTCAAATAAGCCGCCTCCTCCCCCTTGTTGCCCTTCCGCTTGCTGCAGATACTAGCAAGGGCAATGGCAGGGCCATCCTGGTGCTTCATGTCTTCACGGAACCTGGGCAAGGCAGACCACTCAGACACCTGCATCACCGTCTCTGCATGCTCGCTCGTACCATACTCCCTTGACTGGCTGCCACTGCACGCGGGCCTGCCAGCCCCCGTACTTGCAGCAGGCAGCATTGCCACCTCGAACCACGACTGCACCTCCTCCCACACATCCCCACGATCACCCTCACCCCTCCCACTTTCTCCACCCTCCCCTCCCTCTCCACTGTCCCCATTCCTAGCACCCCTCCTGCCCGCCTTGTCGTTCGCCCCATTGCCGGCCCCATCAGCCTTGGAATTCCCCTCCCCTTCAGCCCCACTTTGCGGGAGGAGAGCCGTGGAGTGGTGAAGGGCAAGGGTGAGCAGGAAGAGGATGGGTACCTCCTCCACCCCTTCCTGCAGCGCACGCACGCAGCCATACGGAGCATCCAGCCGCAGGCCGGTGAAAATGTTGCGATACTCATCCGTGTGCGGCGGGAAGACAGAGACGAAGCGGTGGACGAGGGCGGCAGCAGGGCGGAAGGCGTAGGTGGCGATGAAAGCGACGACGGGGACGTGGGAGGTGTAGATGGTGATGCAGCGGCTGCAGTTGGCACATGCCGGTGGCACGAAGAGCACACTGGCGAACTCCAGTATCAAGTCCACGTCTGCCCTGCACCGCACCATCGGACGCGTTTCAGCCCCGAGCGAGACACCTTTGGTGGGAGCTTTCCGAACAGCTGCTGGTGCTGCCGCATGCCCTCTGTTCCTGCGATCCCGCCTGCCATCCGCCCTGCCCAGGCCAAAACATCTGGCACTTGAGTCGTCAGGAAATTTCATAGCAGCTTCATCTCCCTCGGGCCACTCCTCCCACTCCGGAAGGCGGCTGCTTCCATCCAAAGGCTCGGGAACAGCACCGAACCTGACCAGTAGGCTCGGAAGATCCCGAAGCGGGTGGCGCATGGGCAGGACCTTGCCCTGCGGCCTGTCCTTGAAGCAGCTCTTGGCGGAGATGAAATCTGAGCCATAGACCCGAAGCCACTGCAAGATGCAGGCAACCCGATACGTGAGCAGCCCAAGAGCAGGGAATGTCTTGACAGGCACGAGGCAAGTCTCACGGGATCCTTTGGTACAAGAGTTGAACGTGCCACCGCTGCCGGTTGATCCACTGCTGCTGCTGAGGGTTGGTCTGCCTCGGGCTGAGGCAGCAGCCGCCTTTGAAGCTCGACGCCCTTTCGTTGGTGCCGCTGCTGCTGCTGTCCTGAGTCCTCCTCCTCTTGCCCCTGCCCCTTTCATCCCTGATGCCAGCCCCTGCTGTGTGAGCCTCCCCCTGGCCTCCGTGATGGCAGCATCTTCCACCATGCTGTTGCTGCTGGTGCTATTGGCCCCTGCGAAGAACATGGCTCCCAGACTGCGGTGCTCCGGCCTGGAGAGCACTGAGGCGACTGCCAGGGCGAAGTCAGTGGCACCCACGCCACTCACATACATGCCCTTGGGAATACCCCTGCCACTATTCCTGCTACCGGTGCTGCTGCTGCCGCTGCTGCTGTCACTCCTGATGCTGATGCTGCTGCTGCTGCTGCGGCTGCTGCTGTCCCCCTCACTGCAGTGGCTGCACCGGAACTCCCTCCCGTCCCCTCCTCCATGCTCCAGAATCCAAGCCATGCCGTCCACATACCTCTCCCACACACGCCCCTTCAAATGCTCCCTCCACTTCAAGTCCTTCCTATCCCTCCCGCACCTGCTAGCAACCCCTTTGACCTCTACCATATTCGCTGTCTCCTCCCCACCTCCGTGCTTCCCAGAATCAACCCCATGTGACGCCTTCTCACCGGTCTTTCCCCCGCCTACCCCCCTCCCCTCCGCGTGCTCCTTTCCCAGCCAGCCTGACAGCACATGCTGCACGAAGAAACCAAACCCTTCCTGCAGATCAGCACTCTCCTTCACCCCCAGCACCTGCACCAGCATGGACGCAGCATGGTCCTGCTCCTCCTGCCTGCCCGCCCCCAGCTGGGCCACCAAGGCTGGGTACACCGGATCATCAATATAAACATGAGCTTTCCATAGCGTGTCGATTCGGGGCCACCTCGCCACAAGCACGAGGAAGACAGCGAAGCTGACAGCACGGCGGTAGGCAGCCCAGCAGTTGCTGCATCGCTAGCAACAGGACCACGGTGCGGAATCAACAGCAGCAGCACCAGCGGCAGGAATGGTCAAACTTGCAGGCAGGCGGGATCTGATTCTCTCCAGGTCCATGAGCACGCCCACACGAGGCTCAGCCATCCACTCGAGCAGCATCACTTCCTCACAGACGAACGGGGCAAGAGTGCACTTGCACATGAACTGCGCAAGAGGCTCCTCCTCCTCCTCTTGCTTCCCAAACGCTGGCACTTCAAAGGAATACTCCAGCACGCCCCTGTTGACCACGTCCAGGTGTGCAAGGGGGGTGGTGCGAGGCTGCTCCACATGCAGGAGCGATTGGAAGAGGTCAAGGCTCTGCATGGTAAGAGCCCGCTGTGCTCCAAGACTAAGCACTTGGTTGAAGCAGCACTCGCACTCAGCCGCGTCCCACCAGCCATGCACGTCCAGGTAATGAACCATGTCCGCCCGACACAGCACTTGAGGCTTCCCCGGTGCTTCCTGAGCTCCCATTCCCCCTATCCCCCCCGCGCTCTGTGTAACCGCCTGCATGTGAGAATTCCACCGCCTCAATACCTCCTGCCGACCACGCCAAATCTCCTCCTTGAATTCCGAAAGACCTCCGCCGCAGGATGAGCCACTCCCTGGTAAATCTCCTTTCGGCTTCGTGTCCTCGCCCTCCTCCTCCTCGTCGCTGCTGGAGCCGATGTGGTCCCACTTGCTGTAATCGACTGTAGAAGTTCTAGGTGCAGCAGCAGTAGTGATTGGTGCAGCAGCACTTGTGATTGGAGCAGCAGCAGTAGGTGGAGCAGCCGCAGATTCAGCAGCTTGAGCAGCAACAACAGCAACACTTGGTGCAGCAGGAGGGAGAGTAGCAGCAGCAGCAGAAGGAGGCACCTCAGCAGCAACCGCAACAGCAGGAGCAACAGCAACAACCGGAGGCACAATCGCAACAGGTGGAGCTATAGGGGCCTTCACGCTCTGATCAGCCCCGTCCTTCCGCTTCTCCACTTCACCACCAGTCACTGTCTTCACGGGAAACACCTTAACGGTGGAACCCGGTTTCAGCTTCGCTTGCGCAACGGTGGAGTCAGGCGAGAGGTACACCACCTGACCTAGCACCATGAACCGGACTGGCTGCGTCCCACACACCGAGTCAGTGTCCTCAGCGGCTTCCTCGCCATCGTCGCCTCGCTGCTGCACGTGACGTGCCTCGCACACCGAATCCCCGGTTCCTGGCGGCGCCTGGCGTGCATCGCACGGCAGGCAGCAGTCCGGCAGGTGCGACTGAAACAGTCGGCTGAAGACCGATCGGAGAGCCTCCTCTGGGGAGGCAGCGACGTGAACGTCCACGTGGGACGAGGCAGATGCTTTATCGCCACATCGGCTATCATTGGAATGTAAGTCGCTGCTATGATGGTCCTCGGATTCGCGGGGAACCAAGCTTATGGGAATTCGAAACCGAACCTCAAAAGCCATACCCGCACTCCAGATAACGTGGAGCGAACTTACTCCTCAAAAGAACACTATATGAACGAAGCCGCGTGTTCATCGCTAACTCTGTCATCCATATGTGCTGCATTCGCTGCTGAAGGCTCCTAGCATGTGGTGGTGATCTCGATAAATATGCTCCGAGGATTCTGGAATATGATGGTGTTCGAATTCTGGTGGCGAAAGTTGGGTTTTTTTATGACGACGTGGTTTCAGCTCAGGTTCAGTTCGCTTGAAGCGAAAGACGAACACAGCGAAAATATGCTCACTGATTTCGCAGCAGTGCAACACCAGATTCGACCGACAGAATATTCGGTTACCGTTTTGCCAACCCAATGTCGAGTGTTGAACCGAGCAAGACCTTTTGCGCGACAAGCACGAAATGTCGTAACTGAAATCAGTCTTGTTCGCAGCTTCAGATTTTAGTGCTAAACCCTAAACCCGGAAATCGACTTTCAGCTTCGAATAACACCTCCATGAGTGCACCTTGTTGCAACACAGCTTGTCGAACGGTAATAACGCGACCTATCATGTGACTCTATCAAAACGATGTGACAGCCTTTGCCTCCTTAATAGCAAGAGCCCTGAGTCATGAGTCTGGGAACCATCGCGGGTCGTTTCATCGAGTCCATTGGATACGAGCGATGTGATAAAATGCAATGGTATGACATCAAGTCAGTCAACAACAATCGAGGTTGCGGCTATGAGCGCGGCTGTAACTACACTGGCCGCATCCCTGCGTCTGCAAAGAGCAGCGTACCGGACGGAAGTGCTTCAGAGTCCTGGAAATCGCCTCTATTTTTTTGTATCAGATAATGAGTCTGAGGATTCGAGACCTGGCTAAGAGCCACTGGAACGACGAACCGCGGATTCAGGAGGCGGAGCGTGCGATTGTAGGCGTAGGATGGGCTTGTGATGCGACCGATAATCCGCAAAATCGAAATCAGAACAATCGATGCTGGCGACGACAACCTCAGCATAAAACGAGAAGTATAGGGATGCAGAGAAGGAGATGGTGAAGGAGCGGTGGAGGCAGCAGGCGCTGCGGCAAGCGGCGAGACGGACGAAGCAATCGTCAAGCAGTGCATGCGGCGTTGGCGGCAGCAGTGGCGGCTGCAGGGTGGGCGGGAAGGAGGGGGAGGGGCAGGTGAAAGGGGGGAATGCTGATAGGGGCTGGCGGGTGATTTGACAACTTGGAAGTAACCAACGCTTTGAGGGGTGGAGATTCGTGTGAAACTCACTCAGGAGAGGGATTGGTGAGAGGGGGGTTGAAGGAAAGGGGAGGGATGGGATGGGGGGCGATGTGAGAGGCGATGCGTGAGAGGCTGTGTGTGGGAGGATGTGTGCGAGCGAGAGTCAATCTGTTGGAGTCCATGTGTGAGAGTCACTCATAGGACTGTGAGGGGCCGCTGAAGAGGGGGGGGGCTCCAAAGGGAGTTCTAGAGGATCCGCCTAAACGGGGAGGGGGTGCCCACTCTCCATTCCCACCCATTTCCAAGTCCTCCGTTCCCATCCAAACCTCATTCCCTCTTCCCACCCCTCCCCTCATCCCTGTCACCTCCAAGGCCGCGCCCCTCCTGCTTGCTCACATCCACTCGCACCCACTCGCGCATGCACACTGCTCGCCAAGGCACCACCGCAGGAGGACCATATCGAACCCTCCGCTCACGCGGGCCGGTTGGAATGGCTGGGCCTGCAATGTGCATGTATGGGCATCACCATGCGTGTCAAGCCGGTCGTTGACTGCACCGTGCCTCACTGGAATGATGCCTCACTGGAATGATGCCTCACTGGAATGATGCCTCACTGGAATGATGCCTCACTGGAATGATGCCTCACTGGAATGATGCCTCACCGGAATGATGCCTCACAATATGTACTACACACGACTTATGGGCCCTTTCTTTTTCTCTGTTTTGCAGGGATGTAATTTCCTTCTCTCTCACACCATCTCACTCGCACTCGCAATCTCCCTCCTACCCCGACTCTTCTTCCCACTCCCCCAACTCCCTCCCTTTTCCTCCAACCTCCCCTCCTCTCCCTCCGCCTCCACACACTCCTCTGCCTCCCTTCCTGGAACCCTCCTCCTTCGCCTGCAACTCTCTCTTTGGCTCCTGGGCTGGGATACCGCCTTCCCCGCTACAAGACGAAGCAGGCCACCCGATAAATTTCTCCCATGTCTCAGCAGCCAATCAGCAACTTCCCCCTGGCGAGATTAAGCAGGTTCGGCGAGGGCTGCGCTTGCTTCGGAGAAGTGCTGCCTGTCTCGCTGCTGCCCACGCCGGCAGGTTCGGGATCGCCAGACCTGGAGATGAGGCTCGGGGAGGAGGTGGTGCTGAGCTGGACGAGGTTGCTGAGCTGGCAATGATGATGTCAGCTGCCACGCGGGACACGCGATCACCCTTCCTGCGGTAAGCTGAGTTAGTCCTCCTCACACTTTCCGCACGTGCTATGGTAAAGATTTCTCCTAAGCTGCAGCTCGCCGAGTCTTCATGGCTTTCCTCCTCACACTTTCCGCACGTGCTACGGTAAGCTTAGCTCACGGTCTTCAATTCGTCCAAAGTTCCCCTTTTTCCGTCCTCCTCACACTTTCCCCCTCTCGCGTCCCTTCCTCCCTTCCCTCTCTTTCCCTCCCCCACCTTTCTTGTCTTGCAACAACCTGACATGCAACTCATCGTTTCACCCCAATCTTTTTCTCCACCCCACCGTAATGCACCACAATACTCAGACCTCCCCACCTTTCCTCCAACAACCTGTTCCGTTCTCCCTTTCCTTTCTCTCTTCCCCTTCTCCTCCTCACTTTGCCTTCCTTGCAGCAACCAGGCATGTGACTCCTCGTTCCTGTTCTCCTCCCCAACGTCCACCATTGCTTGAAACCCTCCCTTCCCTGCCCCCTTCCCTGCCCCCTCCCCCACTTTAATTTCTTTGCAGCAACCTGGCATGTGACTCGTCGTTCCTTTTCACCCCCCCCAACCTCCACCACTACTCAGCCTCCCCACCTGGTCCCTCACCATCCAGCTCTCTTTCACGCTGTCCACTCTTCCTTCCCCTTTCCTGCCCCTTCCCCTTCTCCCTTCCCTTCTCCTCCCCCGCCTTGCTTTCCTTGCAGCAACCAGGCATTTGACTCCTCGTTCCTTTTTCTCCCCACCAACCTCCACCACTGCTCAGCCTCCCCACCTAAAACCGCACCATCCAGCACTTCCCCCCTTCGCTGCTGCTGCTCCCTCTGCTTCTGCCGAAGGGGGAGCAGGGGAAGGGGTGCAAGTGCCTCACGAGAACCTTCTTGGGAACTCCCTTGTCGAGGACTATATAAGCACAACAGCAGCAACCCTGGTGAGTGGAGGGAGATGATAAGAGATGAGAAGAGATGTGATGGCAACAAGGGCTAATTCGTTTTAGGGCTATAAGGTTGGTTGTGAGACGTCTCGAAGCACAACAACAGCACCGCCCTGGTGAGTGAAGGGAGATGAGGAAAGATGAGAAGGAAGGTAGGCTTTGTTTATTCTACACTTACATAATCTAAGGTTGGTTGTGAGACGTCTCAGAGCACAACAGCAGCAACAGGCCTGGTGAGTGAAGGGAGATGAGGAAAGATAAGAAGTAATTTAGGCCTGATTTATTCCAAAACTCCCATTCTGCTTTAGGTATGTATTGAAACCTCCACCTCTCTCCCTTATTTAACCCCACACTCCTTCCCATCCTCCCGCTCCCTCCCTTATTCCAAGCTGCACGGCTGCAGAATGCCCTGTATTGTCACCTTCGATACAAGCACAAACAAAACACTTTCGCATTCAACGTTTAACCCCTCCTGCTCTCCCTCCCTCCCCGCTTCCAAGCAGCACGGTCGCAGAATACCCCGGAAAGTCGTTTCTGATACAAGAACAAGCGCCGCTCTTCCCCACACCCATCGTAACACCATGGGCCCCAGCCCCAACACACCTCTGAACCCCAGCATATCAAATCTTAAAGGGCAGGTTCGGACATGCCATCCTATCTGGTCTCTGAACCTGGTGCAAATGGGTTGAATCTCAAGCAGAGGCTGCTGGGATTGAGAGGGAAGGGGCATGGTGAAGGAATGGGGTCTAAGCGGGAGAGAGGGAGTGGGGGAGAGAGGGAAGGAGGCGGGGGGGAGGGGGAAGTGGTGGGGGGGGGGGGATTGAGTGGGCGGTGGTGGATTCGGTTCAGTTGCCACCTCCCCCCAGTGATGCTGAGGATATGGAGCATTGGATTCGAGCCATGATTGTTGATGCAAAGAGGTGATGTAGGGGGGATGGAGAGGGTGAAAAGGGGAGGGGATAAGGTAGCAGGAGGTGGAGGGAGAGCAGGAGATTAAAGGTACACCAGGAGAAATTGTACCGTATGAAAGGACAACATTGTATCGTACATATTTCCGGTGTATGGCTGTTAGAAAGTCATACTTGTACCAGCTCTACAAAATATGATATAGAGTACATTCCTGCCTTGATGCTCTTCGAACTATGCGTCACAAACCTTCCAGTACCGTACCAGGAAAAAATTCCTGCCTGTCTAGCCATTTTACGTGATGTTTGTGTGCTGCAGAGGGCATCCAAATATCTTACCAGAAAGTGCAACGCAACAGCCCGTTGGGTGTGTCGTGCCTGCTAGTATTCTCATAAGTACTTACAAGGAGGGCTGGCTGGTTGGCACACCAAGAGAGAAGGTCAGAGTGTAAGAGATAGGTGAACAGAAACAAGCTTGGGCTGGGTATGTAAGAGAATTACGGTATCTTACACTTATGGTATGTAAACTTTTACAGCATGCTGATCATACAGGTGCCGCATTCCAGAGGCGCCTAAAGAACATCCAAGATAAATCCCAAATTGTCAAAGGTGTCCCACCAGCAGTGATTTCTCCCGCAGCAGCAACGGCCATGGCAGCAACCAGCTTGCTCATTCTTCCCGAAGCTGCTGAGATGGAATAGCTTTTGAGGCATCTCAGAAAAGTCATGCCTGTGTTACACCGGAAGTCCCATCGGCAGTGAATTCTTCAACAGCCGCAACAGCCATGGCAGCAACCCGCGCACTGAGCCTCCCCGAAGCCCGCTGGGACTTGCAGCCGTGTGGTCTTGACAGAGAGCTGTTGCATGGAGAGAGATTGCTGACACATGGAGAGAGCTTGCTGGCATATGGAGAGAGCTTCCCTGCAGAATATGCGCCGTGGTGATGCCGCTGCTTCTGACGAAGCACGTCGGATGTGAGCTTGCGACACGAGTTGACCGTGCTGCACGTGGTTCCGTACGTTGTCTTGATCGTGAGCGTCGCAAGCGGGAACGTGAAGGCAGAGGAGGGGGAATCATCAGCAGTAGGCAGGGGACCCTTAGGTGATGCAGCAGCAGCAGCAGCAGACGTGCTGGAAAATGAGGGTGCAGGTTGGATGGCAAATGCAGGGGGAGGTTGGACAGCAGAAGCAGCAGCAGCCTTGGGAATGCTTCTAGGAGAACCAGAGCCGGAGAATGAAGATGGAAACAACGAGGCGCCACAAACCCAAGGGTCGTTCAGAACCTCGTCAATGGACGGTCGGATCTGAGGGTCCGTTGCGAGCATCGAACGGATGAGATTCTTCGCTTGGCCTGAGATGAGCCACCAACAGCGGGAGTCCCAGTCCTTGCTTTCGTCAAACCTTCTGCGACCATTCGCGAAAGTCGGCCATTTCCCGGACAGCATCGCGTACAGGGTAACACCAAGGCTCCAAATGTCCGCAGCGAAATCGTACGATTTTCCCGCCAAAACCTCGGGAGCCTCGTAAGGGGAGCTGCCTGCATAGCCATTGATCTTCTCCCCTGGCGCAAGCACCTTCGCTGTTCCGAAATCCGCGAGTTTCGTGGTGAATTCGCAACCTCGACCCATGATGTCGCTTATTAGGGTTAATCTAGGAGACCCACTAGGTGAACCGCTTTCAGACGATACTCGCCATAGGAGAGAACTTGAAGTTTTGGCGGGAAACAAAAGAATGTTGTCGGGCTTGACGTCGCGATGAATAACCCCTTTATAGTGGCACTGCTTTAAAGCCATGGCGACTCCTTTGAACAGCTCACGCGCCTCGGACTCCGGAATCCGTCCCTTTTGCTCTATCCGCGTTAGAAGATCGCCACCTGTAGCGAGCTCCATTACAAGCACCATCCCCTTCCCACCCTCTCCGATAAAAACATCCTCGAGAGTAACGATGTTTTCGCACCCTTTCAGGAGCGAAAGAGCCGTTACTTCCCGTTGCGCGGCGTCAACGGCTTGCTTGCGCGCCTCGACCACCTTGCAGGCGAGTCGCTTGCCGGACACGCGCTCCGCGCATTCCGCAACGACGCCGTATCGTCCCTTTCCCAGATCACCCCTGAATTCATACTTCTCCGCAAAAGCGCTCAGAGACTTGTGCTGCGCCATGAATTGATTCATTACCCGTTATAACTGAAAACGGGGACGTATCTTGTTTGAATTCAGTAACAAGTGATTCAATCGATCTTAAGTGATGCGGGAGATCGAGCACTACGGCGAATGCGGAAAATTTTCTCCGACTGTAGGATCGTCTGAGCGAATGCGGCAGTGGAAGATGTGAAGGTTTGATCATCCGCAGTGCTTTTGGAAAATGACGTGAAGATTTGATGCGACTGACGACGAAAGCTCGAGATGACGCCATGGTAAGTACTACTACCCGATATTCCTGCGAAGGGAGTCGCGTCGCGTCGCGGCACGCTACCACCAATCAGACGAAACCAGGAGTTTCCTGGGTGCTGCTGTGGATGGATGAAGTGACTCACTAGCTCGGAAGCTCCTCATAGCAGCACCAATCACGCGCAACCAGGAGTTTCCTGGGTGCTGCTGCTGCTGGTACCTCGACAGTGCCGACTCACGCGCCACGCGCGAGTCATATGTACGAAGGACAACTAAGTTGACGATCTAATGGGTAACTTTGCCTTGGCTGCTGTGGAGCGAAAAGGAGAGTGGGAGGGTAGGAGGGTGCAGAGGAACTGAGCGGCTCAACTTGACGCGCTTTTGCGATAAGCAGTTGATCTACTCCCCGGGTAACCCTGTCTGTCGTGATTAGGTCTGAGAAATTGTTTCGCCTGGGTGTGTAGACCCAAACCCCCGAGCCGCCCATTCCCACCCTCCCCTGGTAACCCTTTCAGTCGTGATTGGGTTTGGGAAATTCGTTCGCCTAAGAATTGGACGGTAACCGCTCTCCTCAACCCTCCGCCCTCGCCCACTCCTCCTCTTCCCCCCACTCCTGCCCCTGCTTCCCCTTCCGCCTGACAACCTGGAACAACAAGCCTTTCAGCGGCTGCTAGGAAGGAGGCGTGGGGCGCAAGCGCGTTAGGCAACAGTCAGCAGCGAGTGGGCCCAGTTTGGCGTGAGCGAACATCGCACGAGTTACTCAGCAGGTGTTATATTCGCAGGTTTTGTATGTAGAAGCGATAAAACCTGCGAATCCGATTGTTACCGGCTATTCGTGATGTCGAGTTTGGTCAAATTTCACGGAAATTTGAGGACCCCACGACGAGGTCAGCGCAGACTGTCAGCGTCGTTTCACGCGCATCCTCCTACGAACGAATAACGGTAGGAGTACGTGACGTATCGCTGCTAGGAGGGGACGTGGGGCAGCAAGCGCGTTGGGCAACAGTCAGCGGAGTGGGCCCGGTTTGCGCGTGGGCGGAAATCGTACGAGTTACTCAGTAGGTCACGTTGAATGATGCCTCACCGGAATGATGCCTCACCGGAATGATGCCTCACCGGAATGATGCCTCACCGGAATGATGCCTCACCGGAATGATGCCTCACCGGAATGATGCCTCACCGGAATGATGCCTCACCAGAATGATGCCTCACCGGAATGATGCCTCACCGGAATGATGCCTCAACCACTGCTGCACCGCCGCCAGCGGTGCCGCGGCCAGAAACGTAATGATTTTCCATCAGCTGTGCGCGTGTCTGCATGCGTAGGACGTATGCGTCTCCTACCTGCCTGCCTGTCTTTCCCATAGTCGCTGTTGCTGCCCGCATGAACCCTCATGCAACCCACTGCACCAACTGCACTCACTGTACTCGCTATCTCTTGCCATTTGTCATGCAGTCTTGGCGCACTGCTCTTGCACCAGCGCACTCTCCCCTCCCCTCCCCACACCCTCTCCCTCGCCCCCTCCCTTCCATCTCCCCCACCCGTCCACCCCAGCACGGTCGTTCGCCCCTCGCGCGAGTGCACTGAAGGCACCATCGCGCCCCTTCCCCATGCGATTCAAGCAGCGTGTGGGCGCACTGACTACCTGGGCAACCTGTGGGTCACAAGTGGGTCAGTGTGAGGTCAGTGTCAGGCCATTCTCAGGTCAGTCTAAGCCCACTCTACCCCTGCCCCACTTAACACTGTATAAATGTGTGTACCATTACAATCCCCTTGATGCTTGAGTTGCTGTTGTTACCTAAGCTGCTTGATGTACTCTACAGTAAAATCACAAACATCCACTTTCTTCTCGCCTCAGATTCCTGGAAAATGAGTTTGTTGATTCGACCTGGAACAACTCAGGCATTTCCTAAAAATCACAACACCCTACCCTCCATGATCGGCTAGGTCTGAGTTTCCAATACGCTACTAGGTTTATGTGCACTAGAGAATGAAAGCAGGACCATCAAAGTTCGAAAAACTAAAGCAAGACCACGGTGCTGGCGAGATTCACGATATTGTTCAGGCACAGGAAGAAAAGAGTTCGGCTAAAGAGAAGGAGAGGGGGAAGGAGTGGCGGCAGCATGCGCTGCGGCAGGCGGCGAGATGAGCAGGGACACCGCCAGTCAACGCAAGAGGCGCTGGCGGCAGAAGTGGCAGCAGTGGGGAAGGAGGGCGGTAAGGAGGGCGAGAAGGAGGGCGGTAAGGAGGGCGAGAAGGAGGGCGGTAAGGAGGGCGAGAAGGAGGGCGGTAAGGAGGGCGAGAAGGAGGGCGGTAAGGAGGGCGAGAAGGAGGGCGGTAAGGAGGGCGAGAAGGAGGGCGGTAAGGAGGGCGAGAAGGAGGGCGGTATGGAGGGCGAGAAGGAGGGCGGTAAGGAGGGCGAGAAGGAGGGCGGTAAGGAGGGCGAGAAGGAGGGCGGTAAGGAGGGCGAGAAGGAGGGCGGTAAGGAGGGCGAGAAGGAGGGCGGTAAGGAGGGCGAGAAGGAGGGCGGTAAGGAGGGCGAGAAGGAGGGCGGTAAGGAGGGCGAGAAGGAGGGCGGTAAGGAGGGCGAGAAGGAGGGCGGTAAGGAGGGCGAGAAGGAGGGCAGGAAGGAGGGCAGGAAGGAGGGCAGGAAGGAGGGCTGGGGGGCGGTGAAGGGGGGTCTGCTGATGGCGCTGGCGGGCGATTTTGGAAGTCGCCAAGGTGAGACGCTCTGACAGTCACTTAGGAAAGGGTGGTTGAGTTGAGTGAAGGGGGGTTGAAGGAAAGGGGAGGGATGGGATGGGGGGCAATGTGAGAGGCGATGCGTGAGAGGCTGTGTGTGGGAGTCTGTCTGTTAGAGGCCTTGTGTTTGAGTCACTCAAAGGATTGTGAGGGGCCGCTGAAAGGGAGGGGTGCTTCAAGGCGGGTTCTAGAGGATCTGCCCAAACACCCTGCAACTCTCCCTTCCCACCCTTGACCAAGTCCTCCGTTCCCATCCAAACCCTATTCCACCTTCTCATCCCACCCCTCATCCCTGTCCCTTCCCGGGCCACTCCCCTCCTGCTTGCTTCACACACCCACTCGCACCCACTCGCACCCACTCGTGCATGCACACTGCTCGCCAAGGCACCACCTCAGGAGCATCATCTCGAACCCTCCCCTTGTCCCCCTCCTTACCCTTACCCCCTCAGGACGCCCTTCCCTTTCACTTACCTTCTCCCCTTCCTTTACCCACTCCCCCCTGCCTTTGACCCACTTTACTTGTTCCCCTTACCTCCCCCCTCTCCCCGTACTCCTTTCCCCTTCCTTTACCCCTCCCCCTGGCCTGACCGACCTCCGTCCCCTTACCCCCTCCCTTTCTCCTTACGCACCCCCCCTCCCCTTACTCTCTCCCTTTCTCCTTATGCACTTCAACTCCACCTTACCCTCTTCTTCACCCGTACCGCCCTTCTTTTTCCCCCATCTCCACCCCCCTCCCCCACCCCTCCCCCACCCCTCCCCCACCCCTCCCCCGACCCCAATCTCCTACCCCAACGCCAGGCTCTGTCGTGACCTGTCTCGCCACTCATCCCCGGCGAGATCAATTCATGCAGTTTGGTTGGAATGGCTGGGCCTGCAATTTGCATGTGCGGGCATCAGGGCGTCACCACTGGTGTCAAGCCCCGCGATGGCTGCCCCCGCGTCGCCTCACAGGGATGATACCTCACCGGGATGATACCTCACCGGGATGATACCTCACCGGGATGATACCTCACCGGGATGATGCCTCACCGGGATGATGCCTCACCGGGATGATGCCTCACCGGGATGATGCCTCACCGGGATGATGCCTCACCGGGATGATGCCTCACCGGGATGATGCCTCACCGGGATGATGCCTCACCCACTGTTGCACCACCGCCGGTGGCGCGGCAGCCAGAAACGTAATGATTTTCCATCAGCTGTGCGTGTGTCTGCCTGTGTTGGACGCCTGCGTCTCCTGCCTCCCTGCCTGTCTTCCCCTTAGTTGCTCCTTCCCCTCCTTCCTCTCTCACTCCCTCTCCCAACTCCCTCCCTGGTCCCCCCCTCTCCTCATCCAGCTCCGCACCTGTTTCTTCTAGCTTACTTCTGCACCACTGCACTCACTGCACTTACAGCACTCACTCCCGCCACTTCTCTCAGCTTCTTGCACTGTTCGGCAATTTCTTTTCGAGCTTTGTTTCTCAAAAGTGATACAAGCATGGCCCACTGCACTGACTCCCGCCCTTGCATAGGCCACTGCTTATCTCCCCTCCCACTTCCGCCACCCCCTCTCCTTTCCAACTCTGCAGTTGCTTCTCCTACACAGAATTCCAGACCACCAATTCCTGCCCCTACCCTACAGCACTGTCTCCCACATCCCTCCTCCCTTCATCCGTCTCGCTGCCCCCCTCCATTCCCGCCCCCCTTCCCCTCCCCTTTCCTCTTCCCTCCCCCCCACAGCTCTGCACCTGTGGCTCCAACTTCTGAGCTACGGTCTCTGCTGCCACATCGCGGTCAGACTTCTCACTCACCAGCGCACGACCCCCTCCCATCCCCTCCCAATACCCTCTCCCTCTCCCGCTCCCTCTCCCTCTCCTGCTCCATCTCCCTCTCCCTCTCCCTCTCCCTCTCCCTCTCCCTCTCCCTCTCCCTCTCCCTCTCCCTCTCCCTCTCCCTCTCCCTCTCCCTCTCCCTCTCCCTCTCCCTCTCCCTCTCCCTCTCCCTCTCCCTCTCCCTCTCCCTCTCCCTCTCCCTCTCCTTCTCCCTCTCCCTCTCCCTCTCCCTCTCCCTCTCCATCCCTCTCCCGTTCCTTCTCCCTTTCCCGCTCCCTCTCCCACTCCCTCTCCCTCTCCCTCTCCCTCTCCCTCTCCCTCTCCCTCTCCCTCTCCCTCTCCCTCTCCCTCTCCCTCTCCCTCTCCCTCTCCCTCTCCCTCTCCCTCTCCCTCTCCCTCTCCCTCTCCCTCTCCCTCTCCCTCTCCCTCTCCCTCTCCATCCCTCTCCCGTTCCCTCTTCCTCTCCCGTTCCCTCTCCCTCTCCCGTTCCCTCTCCCTCTCCCTCTCCCCCTCCCTCTCCCTCTCCATCCCTCTCCCGTTCCCTCTCCCTCTCCCGTTCCCTCTCCCTCTCCCGCTCCCTCTCCCTCTTCCTCCTCTTCCCTCCCCTCTTCCAGCACGGACTCCTGTCCCTACAGCGCAGGCGCACTGACCACCAAGCCACTATCGCCTCCCCTCGCCATACCCTCCCCGCTTTTATGACGCGGACGTCCTGTTCACCAAAAGAGGCAATGGGCTGCAGAGTGTTCCGGCTGAGGGAGAAGGACGGAGGTGCGTTCCTTGTGCAACCTGGGGGGGGTGGGGGGGGGGGGGGCTGGTGGGTGCCACCATGACAGTTTTCTACCTTAAGGGCGAGCAGCGGGAAAGTGAGGTGGGTTCGCTGGGCAAAAGGAGGTGTGGTGCGACAAGAAGGTGCGCAATAATAGACCGCTTCTGCTGGGTGAGGGAGGTGTGTGGATGGTGCGAGGAACATGGGCCACCTGTGGTTCAGTAGCAGGGCAGTAGTAGGTGAGTCTCAGGTCACTCAGGTGACACTCAGCAGTTCAGATTGAGCTGTGTTTGAGGTTGATCCGAGAGAGGCTAAATGCCCATGGTGGTGTTTTCAAGGTACCTCTATGCCTGCTGCATGCCCTGCACTTGCATGCCTTGTGCCTGAATTCCCTGCGGCAGTGCTGCTGTTTTAAGGTGGCTGTTATTAAGTGGGCGGCTGGGCACCTACGGATCACAAGCAAGTCAGTTGCAGGTCAGTTTCAGGTCAGTCTCGACCGCCCCAGCTTTTCCAGCGCATCAGTGCAGGGCTCTCTTCACCCTTCCGTGCTTGTGTATGTTCCTTGCTTCCGCTCCCCTCTATCCGCCCTTCCCCCCTTCCCCACACACCCCACTCTTCGTTCCAACTCTTCCACAGTATCATCCATACCCCTCTTGCCTGTGCCAGTATCTTTGCTGACCCTGCTGCCTTCCATCCCCTCCCCCACCAACGGAGCTTCCAGCGCATCATGGTGGGCGGGGCACTATGGCATGCACACCTCTCCCTAGGCATAGTTCAGGCAGGCATAACTCAGGCAGGCATGATTCAGGCAGGCATGGTTCAGGCAGGCATGGTTCAGCTTGGTATTATTCACCCCTCTCATAACCCCGACTTCTCCCATTCCCCCCACTCCCCCCACTTCGCTCTTTCCCCCTTCTCCTCCAATCCCCCCCAGTTTTCTCATTCCCCTAACTCCCTCATACACTCCACTCCTCTCACTTGTGCATCCACACCGGCTTGGCTCATTCCCTCTGAGTTAACCTAAGATACAGGAAGCAGCTCAAAATACACGCTAGCTGTGGTGGCGCCATCTGGAAAGTTACGCATGCCTCATAAGATCCAGTATTCCCATTCACCAGATCCGGTTGTCTGCCAAAGTGCATTACTCAGAACCTCCAACAATCACCGTTTTGTTGACTCATTTCCTGGGTTTCTTACATGCCACTTGCCGTTCCATTGCCAGCTGTCATGGAGCTCTATCCCACTCAGGCATCTGCCATGATATGTCAAATCTATCCGAGAACAAGTGTTCTTCATGCTCTTCCTGCTTTCTGCCCTTGCACCTGCTACCGTGAGCTGCTTTCACTCGCATCAGGTCTCTGTCATGCTTTGGCAAGGCAGCTCATGCATTTGCGATGGCTGTGTAATTTCCTGTCAGTTGTCAAGTGTATGAACGCAAGACGCTTGGTGTGATTCTCGCATTTTGACAGAGAAATTGTCATGTGGGTCTCCTGTTGGAGATGTTACAAATCTCAAGTTGCTGGTTTGTTGCCGCCGGATGCATGTGTGGGCCACACTGAATTTTTGAAACCAGGTACAGCCATATCGAAGTGCATGCATGCATACTAACATCCAGCAGCTGCAATCTGAAACAACAAGGTTCTTGGCTTGACGCCAGATGGTCATTTAGAAATCTTTGCGAAATGAACCAGCTGACAGCGCGTGTGTGAGAGCAATGAGGAGTAGTGCCTTGTGCCTTAAAATTATCTGGAAACAAAAGTTCGAACAAAAACAGCTTGATTCTTGTGATATGAGTGGCGTGGAGGTATGAGAGGAGAGGGGGTATGAGAGGAGTGAGGGTATGAGAGGAGTGGGGGTATGAGAGGAGTGGGGGTATGAGAGGATTGGGGGTATGAGAGGAGTGGGGGTATGAAAGGAGCGGGGGGTATGGGAGGAGCGGGGGGTATGAGCAGAGTGGAGGGTATAAGAGGAGTGGGGGGAATGAGTGAAGTAGGGGGTACGCGAGGGATGGGGGTGGTGAGAGGAGTGAGGAGTATGAAAGGAGTGGGAGAGTTGGGGTATGAGCGGAGTGGGGGTGATGACGGGGGGGGGGGGGCACGGGGGGTATGACAGGAACGGAGGTTTGGAGAGAAGTGGGGGGATGTTTCAGAATGCATATCTCAGTAGCCGTCTCTCAAATTCAATATCTAAAAAAATATTTATCCGAATGAATCAGTATCTTAAAATGCAGATTTCAACAAGAGTGTTTTTTCATGCATCTCTCTCAGGTAAATCTGTTGAATTTTAGCTCATAGATCAGCATGAGACTTTCAGACTCTGAAGAGCATATTTCAAAACACATTTCCCAAAATGCATCTCACCTGCATAGTGACTGTGGGTGCGCACTGCTTCAGAAGAGTCAATGGCAAGACAAGAATGATGTGACTTCCTGAACAGTGGATTGATTTACCGTAATTGAATATAGCGGTCTCATCCAAGCAGCACTCCACGGCTCCTGGCTGACTTACTGGGTGTCTGTGGGAGGGACCATTCAACAAGCACAGAGACTACCACACTTGCTGAATATTTTTGTGTTGTTGTTGTTGTTGTCGTTTTTTTTTTTGTTTTTTTTTTTTTGTTTTTTGTTTTTTTTTTTTTTTTGTTTTTTTTTGTTTTTTTTGTTTTTTTTGTCTAGGCATGATGTAGCCCAAGCGAATACAAGAAACAAAAAAACGTGGGTGCAAGACAACCAAGATCAGAGCAAAGACACTACCAGGTGCAAGAAGCAAAATCAGAGAGCAAACTACCAACAAACAAAAGAACATGGGTGCAACAAGACAATCAAAATCAGAGAGCATACAAAAAGTCTCTAAACCGTCCCAACCAGTCAATCATCTCCCCTGGCACTAGCTGCACTGCCTTGGAACCAGTTTCACTGCCCTGGCACCGGCTTCATAAGCGCCTTTGCCATCCAGCATCTGCCAGACACTGCAAGAACAATCAGAGCGCACTGTACAGCTGCTTAGCAAAAACCAGCAAAGGAATTTACCTAGTCAGTGGAAACAGCCCCCAATGTAGTGCGGCGCATTTGACAAAGTCAAGTCCAGCCACCCACCTCAGTCAGCTGCAAGCGAGCCCAATGCAGCCAGCCAGCCGAGTCAATGCTCATCAGTCAGTTGCACGAGTTTCGCAGGAAGGGAGGGGATGGAGGTATGTCGGAGTATCAGCCGGTGCAGCTGGGTGAGAAACTCCGGGAGGTGCTGCAAGGCGTTGCAGCAAATCAGCTCCAGTTTGCGCAGCCGAGACAAGCAGCTCATGCCCTGAGGTAGCAATGTCAACTGAGGGGCGTTGATCGTCAATGATGTCAGCGAGCTGAGCTCCATTAGGCTTTCTGGCAGCTCCTCCAGTGACCACGAACGAAGATTCAGCTGCCGTAGCTGCGGCAGCGCTGCTGCCATGTTTGCCGAAAGGCTGCAGATTCCCAGCGCCTCTATCAGCAAGCTGCGCAGGCGAGGGAGAAACATTAAGGGGATTGGGAGCTCCCGACTATCACGTTGCAAGCGCATCTCCAGCTGCTCCAGCTTCTCAAGACACGACAACCTGCTGGTCCCTGCAGGCCCGCATATCACCCCAACACGGTTCAGCTTCAGCACCCTCAGCTGCGATAACTCAGAGATATCCACCACATGGGAAGAGCCTTCCCCGAAGGGACCCAAGCAGAGGGTTTCAAGAGAAGGGGGAAAACCAGCAGGTGGTCTACTCAGCTGCCAACACTCCGTCAGCTCCAGCCTCTTCAGCCCCACGAGCGTATCCAGCCTCGAAGGTACACTCGAGAGAGAGCAGCAGCCTCTGACCTCCAAGGTCTGAAGTCTCGTAAGCCGTGTCAGCGAGCTAGGAAGCGTGCTGATCAAAGAATCAACAATCTTCAGCTCCCGTAGGCTGCTCAGCTCTCCCAGAGCTTCTGGAAGCTCGTTCCCACCACATTGTTCCAGCTCAAGGATCATCAGGGAAGACAGCTGGGTGAATGAAGCCGGGAGGAGCTGGTCCTGGCAGGCATGCACCCTGAGAGCCTCCAGACTTGCAACAGCACCAACGTCCTCTGGCAAGGCTAGACCATACGAGTTTGAGAGGCAGAGCGCCTTGAGAGCCGTGAGGAGGCAGAACCCTGCTGGCAGCTGCTGAAGCTCGTTGCAGTTAAGTATAACGAGTGACTCTAGAGACGTGAGATGACAGAAGGAATGAGGGAGTTCGGTGAAACACAAATCCTCCAGCACCAGGCGTTTGAGGGCAGGCAGGTGGCCGAAGTTGATGGGTAGTAAGGTAAACTCGGAGGAATTAGAGACGACGAGGGTTTCCAAACGACTCAGAGAAGTGATGCTTTCAGGAAGGTGAGTGAAATAATAGCAGTTGCAGATGGTCAGCCTGCGAAGGCACGGCAGCATGTCTCCTATGCCGTCAGGAAGGCTCTCCAGCTCACTGCAGTCGGTGATCAGCAGCTCCTCTAGTTCAGTGAAGGGCGATGCTGATGATAAGAAAGTGTTGAAATCAGGACAAGTCATGGAAAGGTTGAGCGATTTTAGGCAAGATGGCAGCATCAAACTTGCAGCACCCGCCAGCTGATGAATTCGGCAAAGGGTGGAGGTGGAGAGATGAGCGAGTCGTGGGAAATGAAGGAGGGTGGACAGGTGCAAATGGTTCATGGGCATGGTGACATACAGGGAGGTAAGCGCAGTGAGGTTTGTGAAACAGGGATTCTCCACGGCTGAAAGGTCGGTGATAAGAAAGGTGTGCAGGTGCCTTAACTGAAAGAAAGATTCTGGTAGGCTTGTTTCTTGGTGAAGGCAGAAGAGGGCAATATGCTCCAAATTGGGAAGCTTTTGAAAGAACCAATCCAAGCCCTCGGTGGTGATTGGATTGTCCTCCTTTCTACGATAATGCCTAACTAGGCCGTCAAGGCCGAAAGGCAATTTCCGTACAAAGTTCCTTCCCACGTGTAGACTTTTCAGCTTCGGGCATGAAGATGCCAGGTGGGCGAGGAAGGCGTCGTCGAGCGACTCGACGCTGTTGTCGCTGAGATGCAGATGGGTGAGGTTGGAAAAGCACGCTACGGCGGCTGAGAGATCTTGGCGGGACACCAGGAGGTCTTCTTTAACGAAAAGCGCGGTCACGTGAAGCTTCATCATACGGCGCCAATGATGGCAGACGGACGCCATGCAGAGTTTATGAGCCACGTCACCGACTGAAGAGGGGGCTGGTATGGGCGTCTGGATTAACAGCAGATCTGCTTCGTCTCTAGGTTCATCTAAAGGTAAGAAACGGCGACTGGAGGTCCACAGGCTACTAATGTAAAACTCGCATGTAGCACGTTGTTTGAAAGACCGCCTCAGGATCGTAAAGAGCAGCTCGTCTGGTAGACTATTGATGCTCGTGCTCACACTGTGAGGCTCCATTCTAGAAGATCAAAACATCAACTGCGAGATAATGGGCTAAGGAACGGAAAGCAGTTGATGAGATGTGGGCTCCAAGAAACGTTACGATGAAAAAGGTAGCATACTCACAGAGAGAGTCGGTACTAGTAACAGAGTGGGTCCGATCTGCGGCGCGATAGACTGCTCATGTGCGATCTGCTCAGCAGTGGAGAAATGAGAGGAGATGGGAGATCAATCGAGGGAGAACAACGTGAACGGCGTGGACGGCGTGTTCGACATAAGAGCTTTCGTCCTCATAACGACACTGGGTTCAACAAGTGATACAGCAACGGCGCAGGAGGAATCTGAATGGAACGATGGTGGCGTTAAAGTTCGACTTTGGCTCATTCAAGAAGGTCGTTCCCTTGAATTCATCGGATCCAGTTCAGCCAGCCCAGGACGAGACTGGCTCTCCGCTTCGCGTTGCCTGGAATTCGCATGCAGGCCGTTGGGATGAAGCTCGGATCAGGTGCAGCAAGGTTGTTTTTTTTACTAGGTTTTTGCTGTTAGACACTCGCTACAACGCGTGGAACGAAGGGAAAGTTTTGAGCTGAAGTGGGAATGTGAGGGTGCTTGCGAGGGTTTCCACGATGTGCTGTGTTCGTCGCTATTGGCCTTGGCGAAACCGAAACCCAATCTGGCGAATCGCTCTTCGCCTGCCATCCCCCCAATCAGGCTTCTTCCCTGGTCTGGCGTGACCTGTATAGGTTGGGAAGAACCCTGGAATTTCGCCCAACGGTTACGGTTTGTTACCACCGTCGAAATTTGAGAAACTCAAAGTCCTCGCCTGCTTGAATGAAGGCATGCAGGAGTCATCAATTTTGCTGCTGAGCCATGGCGGCCCACCCTTTGCCTGCTCGAATAAATAAGGCAGTGCTTTCGGGCTTCTCCTATACTTATTTAGAATGGTTCCTAGACTGTCACTTCCGTTCGGCTCGAAACTTACGGGACTGTAGGTTCATATACATATGCTGTTGCCTCGCGTCCTAGGCGCGACGCTCGAGCCGCCTATTTCTCGTGATGTTTGATAGGAGGTCGGTAGTGACCCACGTCTTCTTCGAGCCGCCTACAGAGACCTACATTATCCCCCGTGTCAAATCTCCAACTTTCCTTTTTCCTGGTCACGAGATACTTCAATCGAATTTCCCATTGCTACTGAGTCGCCTATCAGTAAATTCCGAGCGAATCATGAGCGCGGCTGTGGCTAGACTAGCAGCATCGCTGCCTCTGCGGGACATTGCGATCGGTGTAGCGATCGGAAGCTGCACTGAAACCGACCTCCATCTTCGAGCGAATTTGAACATGAGATGCTGAAACCCGGTTGCTTTAGATGCGCGACTGGAAAGACGAAAATGCGGATTCAGAAGGCGGATGGTGCGAGAAGGCGGATGATGGGTTCCCTCGAAAGGCGGATGCTCAGCGACCAATAGCGAAGTGAAGGAGGTGAATTTTGAATGTTCTGCTACTATTGGCGGCTCGGCGACCGATAGCTAAGCCTCAGGTCTTTCGGAATTTAATCAGTCATGCGATGTTTGCGAGGTTAGCGAACCTGTGCAAGCACATGAGAGAGGCATAGGGATGAATCAATATATGAATAGGGAGCACGAGAAGGAAATGGAGAAGAACGGCGGAAGCCGCATGCAATGCGGCAGTCGGCGAAACGGGCGGGGACAGCGAAAGGGGCGGGGACACCGCCAAGCAGCGCAAGTGGCGTTGGCAGTGGCAGTGTCGGCGGCTGGGAGAGCGGGAAGGAGGAGGAGGAGGGGGCGGTGATGGGAGGGGTGCTGATGGGGCTGGCGGGCAGATTGACCAGCTCGGCGAACTGGCCAAGGTGAGAAGCTCTGAGGGGTGGACACGCGTGTGAGATTCACCCAGGAGACTGGTGAAGGGGGGGCGATAGGGGGGTCCAAGGGGGGGTGGAGGGCGGGCGAAGGTGGTGTGTGTGAGAGGCGATGTGTGAGAGGCGATGTGTGTGAGAGGCGATGTGTGTGAGAGGCGATGTGTGTGAGAGGCGATGTGTGTGAGAGGCGATGTGTGTGAGAGGCGATGAGTGTGAGAGGCGATGTGTGTGAGAGGCGATGTGTGTGAGAGGCGATGTGTGTGAGAGGCGATGAGTGTGAGAGGCGATGTGTGTGAGAGGCGATGTGTGTGAGAGGCGATGTGTGGCATGGGGCTGGCGGAGGTAGAGGACGTTTCAAAGCTCCGTGGGAGTTCCAGAGGACCCTGCAAACTGTCATGCAACTCTCTCTTCCTACCCACCCATCCCCAACTTTCTCTTCCCACCCCTCACTGACATCATGCCTGACCCCTCCAGCTCCGCTCGCTCCTGCTTGTTGTTTCCATGCCCTCCTCGCACCCACTCGCACAGTGACACTGCTCGCCAAGGCACCTCCTCAGGACCATCTCGAACCCTCCCATTACGCCCTCTCCTTACGCTTACGCACTTCCCTTTCATTCCCCCCCCCCCCCACCCCCTCCTTTACCCACCTCCCCATCCTCCTCTTACCCCTTTTACCATTAGCCCCTCCCCTTCAATGTACCCCCTCCCTTCCCCCTCCCCCTACCCGCTCCCTTTCCCCTTGCCCCTACCTTACCCCTTTCCCCTCCCCTGACCCACTCCCTCTTAACCCCTCCCTTTTACCTTACCTACTCTCCCTCCCCTCAGCCCCTCCTTTCACACGTACTCTCCTCTCTTCTCCTTCTCCTCACCCCTCCCCCTATCCCAATCGCCTACCACAGCATCCCTGCCGTGGCTCGTCTCGCGACTCGTCCCCGGTCTGATTGGAATGGTAGGGCCGGCGATGTGCGTGCGTGCGTGCGCTGCGCAGGCATTCCCCACAACTCCACTTGTCACCTGCATGCCGAAAAGCTCACGGATTTCGAGTCTTCCTTACAATCACTTGTCGCCCGCACGAACCCCCACTGCTGCTCCTTTTCCTCCTTCCCTGCTCCCTCGCTCTCCCAACTCCCTCGCCTTCTCCACTGCCCCCCCACCTCCGCACCTGTGACTCTAGCCGACTTCTGCCTGCCCCACTGCACTCACTCCCGCCACACTTGTCACAGCTCCTAGTACTGTCTTCCACTTTGGTCCGCACTTCGTGTCAGCTTCTAGCATCGCACTGCTCCTTTCCCCTCCTTTCCCTTCCTCCCCTCCCTCACTTTCCAGCCTCTCACCTGCTTCTCCTACACCAACGTCTGCCCTGCTGCGCATACCCGCGCCCCCACGGCATTGACACCACCTCTCTCATAAACCACTGTGCCGTTTACCTTGTGCCCCTCTCCTCGCTTCTTTCCCAAACCAACCCCCACAGCCCCGCACTCCCGCCCCCACGTATTCAATGCCTTCTTGCCCACACGGGTTCCCGCAGCTACGGTATGGCCGCACTGTTCACCAAAGCATTCTTCCTTCACCGGCCTTAACCCCCTTCATGTTCCACGCCCCCTCTTTCAGCTCCGCACCTGCTTCTCCTACACCCACTCCCGCTCCACGGATTCACCTCCTGCTGGCTCACGGATGTCCGCCGTATGGCCCAGGCACACTGTTCATTTCATAGGCAACCCTCCCCACCCACCCCCCCCCCCCCCCCCCCCCCCCCCCCCCCCCCCCCGCCTCTTCAGCTTCGCACCTGCTTCTCCTTACACCCACTCCCGCCTTCACCGGCCTTAACCCCCTCTATGTTCTCCTCCCCCCCGCAGTCCCCCTCCCAGCTCCGCACCTTCTTATCCTACATCCGCTCCTGCCCCACTCACGGATTTCCGCCCCTATGGCCCGAGCTCACTGTTCTTGGGCAACCTGCAAGCTGCTGACTGCACTACAAATTCGCTTACTTCTGCCCCACAGATTCCCGTCCCTTCGACACGGCTGCACTGTTCACCAACTCATTCGCCCTTCACTTCACTGCCCCCGCTTCATCTTCCCCCCACTGCCCCTCCCCTCCTCCCCCCCCCGCCAGCTCAGCACCTGGGCTGGGGTGCACTGTTCATGGAAACCCGCAGACTGCTGACGTGACGGAGTAGTGCGAGAGGTGCAGGGCTGCTGGGTACCCCTTGGTGGTGTTGTTGCTCGCAGGCGAGGCGAGGGGAGAGGTATGGTATGCCTGTGGATGGAGTAGTGGGCTGCATGATACGATACTATAGAGTCGCTAGTGGGTCGCCTGTGGCCAGGCTGCTGGGAGCCCTGAAGCGGTTTTTTTTTTTTGTCATGGACAAGCAGCGGGAGGGAGGGAAGGATTCGTGGAGTGAGGGAGGAGGTGGGCTAATCATGGGTCACCAGTGGGTCAGTAGCAGGTCACATTCACACTTGACTCTCAGGTCACTCTCAGGTGTTTCTCAGGTGACTTGGAGAGGAAGGCTGGAGGTGACAGGGTGAGGTTGGAGGGGCTATGGATGAAAGAGGTCGCCACTGAAGCCATGAATTGTAAGCTGCCTGGAGGTGATGCTGCCACATGCAGCCTCACTGGTGCCGACAATGCTGCTTCGAGACCACGCTCATGCCTGCCGCCGCATCCCTAACCACCAATCCACTGCAAGCTGTTTACGCCTCACATTTTGTAGCCCTAAATTTCCTCCCCTGTTACGCCTGCCCACAAATTGTTCAACCAGGCAGATGCTGCTGATGTGACGAAGGAGGGCAGGAGGCAATGGCGGTGCAAGAGGCATTGGCGGCAGCCATGGCAGCGGTGGAGAGTATGGGGAGGAGGGCGGGAAGGAGG